GACCTTTTTATAAACCATTAACGCCACAGGAAATGTTCATAAATGTCACAGAAGTTTTTTCAGAGTTGAGCATGTGCAACGATTACCCCTCACAGTACACAGGCTCATAACCACCGTTTAGCTGATTGTAGCTGCAGCTTAACCAAATTCATGTATTTTTCCATTATTAGTGTGGAAGCAAATTACATTTCTATCTCTCTCTGTCATCTCGTTCACTCCTTTCCTCCCTCTTCTCTCACTCAGCTGCACACTCCTCATCCCTCCAAAAAGCAAGCGGGCTGTCGCCTCTCCCTTCTGTCTGCCCCATCTGTGATGCAGTATGGGCCGCTGGCTTGATAATGATCGGTGGGCAGAGCGCGGGGCTGCACACGAGGCAAAGATGGGCCGCTAAAATGGAAGGCTAAAACTCTGCTCGCCGAGCCTGTGAGGGGGTCTCGCCCTGTAGCGGCGCGCCCGTTCCCCTCAACGCTCCTCCCAGTCATGCAAAAGTGCAGCATGTAATGTAACGGCAGAGAGGCGGGCGGTAAAGAAGCGGGTGTGTGTGTGTGTGTGTGTGGGGGGGGGGGGGGGGGGGGTCTTGATAACACAGCAGATGCACATAAACCCTCTGAAGGCCATCGAACCAGATTTGGTACCATGTGTTTTTCTCTTCTCCCTCCGCTTGTGTTATAGCTCAGAGAGGCTCAGAGGCTTGTTAAAACTTTAATACACTGTACAACTGCAGTAATTGAGTCGAATGTTCAACTTCTTGTGGTCACGGCTTTAATTTATGAAGTTCCCATGAAAATTTAATGGATCAGCAGTTGTAGGGTTGCTGCTATCTAAATCATCCTGTATCTATCTAAGGCTGCACGGCCTGCCAAGTCCCGCCGTTAGCATCCTGTGCCCCAGAAAGATGGCCAGATTGCTCTGAAGTGATGACTGTTTCTGGACATCCGTTCAGCACGTTGTACCTAAAAGACTTGACACAGAGCTACTCGGCTGTTTGTGATCAAAAGCGCCAAGTGTTGACATTTAATATCCACAGCGTAATTTTGGATTTTCGTTCTATTACATTGTTCATTCCAGCAAATTCAGAAATCTGCGATGCTTGATGAGGGTTGAATAGCACGCTCACTTAATTGTGGAGCAGCCCCGAGGCTTGTCAGAGAATGTACATGAGATGAATTTGGAACCCGGCTCTTCTTGCTTATAAAATGTGGGAAACGCAGTAATTTGCTTGATGAGAGTTGTGATACACCGTGTTCCTTTTGCTCAGTTTTACCAACACTAGCCGAACTGTGCTGGAGATGTTTATTATTGTTATTAATATTTTGTCAGGAAGCGAGAAACAGAGTGACACGCAGCCCTGGAAGAAGCTTATTAAAAAGGTATTGTTTACAGTCACCGCGGAGAGATGCAACACTGATTAATGGTGTGTTTTACTGTTGACAAAAAGCACCGCGAGAGACTTGAATAACACTGAAAAATCACTGCACGGAAACAGTCAGGTACCTAATGAAAGGAAGCATTCTTCATCTGGGCACCCTTCTATGTTGTACACGGCTGAAAGGAAAATGATGGATGTTTGATCCACCTCATGCTTTCCAATTCTGATGTTTCTTTAATTAAAAACTGTTTCCTATCATTATTGCATCATGAAGCTTGGAGATAAAAATGATCTGTTTCTAGCGTTGCTCTCAGCAACTCAACAGACATCTTAAATAAAGACTAGCAGTCTTATGACAGAGCAGAACGGTAATAAATTTAGTCCATCTCAGTCACCCTGTCTCAGCGTCTTACAGCGTTGGATTCGTGTGTGACTGTAGGCTCGCTGCAGAGAAAGGTTTGAGAAGAGAGGCAGGCACAGAGCCATCTGGTCGAGGTTCAGTCACATCCTCTTCCTCTTTCCCCGTCTTATCTGTGTTTGTCATAGAGGTGAAGGCAGAACCGGCAGCCTCTTTACTCATCACACATTTATAAGAGCTCCCTCTTTCTCCCGCTGAAACTGTCCTCATAACTCCTGTTGGAGGAAGTAAACTCTGACTGTCATCTCTTGACAAGTCAGATAAGACCCTCGTTTCCACATCTGTTGCACAGTATGTTGCAGGAAATTTTATGCTCTGTAGGTGGGAAACTCGCCCAAGTCTGCAAAATAAAAATATAATTTCAACTTGAAAGCAAAACATTTAGGAGAAAACATTCAGTGTGAAGTTTTCTTATGGAAATTTGGCATTTTTAGGTTTGTGACAAAGCAAGAACATGTGGCAAAAATGATTGCAATTTTTAAGAGCTGTGCAATATTTCAATTTTGGCTGCAAAATATCATGCCCTCTCAAATGCTAAAGTCACACATGTCTTGTGGTATTTTAAAAGGTCAGCATGAGTAAAGATGACAGAACAAGGTCAGAAAAGTTGGACTCCCGTCAACAAAAATGTCTCCCATTATGTTTTTATTACAGCCCCACGTGCTCGGTGCTGCAGCATCCACCGACATCTTTCCATGTGACTCTGACGTCTACGAGTGTTCTGAAAAAGAGATGCAACAACAAAATCAGCTGGTGATCAGATATCTGATTTTCTTTTCCCCCAAACTGTGAACACATCATTTTCTAAACAATCTGACATTTTTCCGGTTCTGTGAACTCACAGCCACTGAGCACTAACTCACAATATCAGTTATAGATCTTTCATGTGAAGGTTTTTACTTAACTTTTGTCAAGTGCATCAAAGGTTAGCTGGATTCTATTTAATACAGCCGAGGGAGATCAGCTATCTGGTTACAGGAGAGAGCTGTACAAAAATGAGAAATTGGTCTCAGCCCTCAAAATCAAAATTGATCCAATTGGTTGTGAAAGTAGAGAATTTTTCTGTTTTCTTTGTAGGACCTTCTATTCCAGCACATTGAGCAGAACTGTGGCAGGATCATTTCTCAGTTGTGACAAAAGTTAAACCCTGAAGAACTTAGCTGGCTACTTGAAGGTCCCATAATAAGTTACTGAGCAACTATCAAGACAAGCTTCAATACTTGTACCTTGTGTCATTATTTACACGCCACCTCGATGTAGGGCTGCTTGATTCGTAGAATTTTAATCTCAACTAAGATCTGGGTCATAAATACAAAATGAGAAGATTATTTGCTCCCCCCTCGCGCTGCTCTGAGTTGCAAATCGAGCGCACCTCTCACACAATGTTGCTAACTTAGGAACTTTTTCGCTATTATTTTGTACATTTGTACAAAATCCATAACTTTGTTCTTTTTTTTACACAGCTTAGTAAAAAATAGTTTTTTACCTTATATGTTTCAGCTAACGATTCTAGCCATAATCAGAGTTTGCCGGTGTTGGTGGCGTCACTTTCATTTATCAGCGGTCAGCAGAGAACAACAAAAGTACAAAGATGGATCAGAAGCAATAGTAATAAGGAGACGTGGACAGAAAACCATGAACAGAGACTATGGAGTATTCACATTGGATCATGCATGGGGCAGTGTCATCAGCAAGGAGGACGTGGGCAGTAGAGGGCAACATCGTCCTCTGCTGCCTGCGGCTAAACGGAAGTGACGCCACGGACACTGGTGCACTCTGATAATGGCTAGGTCATTAGCTGAAACTTTTCAGACCCCCTTCTTGACTTTTTTTTTATCCTAAAAGTACCCTAGAGAACAGCCTAGGGACATTTCTGGTAACCCTTAACTTCTTTCTCGCTCATAAAACCAGCTGTTTTACAAGCAAAATAAATTCAAGATTCAGCAAACCATATCTGAAATGGATATTCATTTTGCCAGGGTTGCCGACTCTCAAGCAATGAACGTGAGCCATGCATTTGATTGTCTTAATGCGCTCTCACACCACACTTCCAATTTCTCAGGTTGGTAAATAACAATAGTTCATCTATCTGAGCCACACATTGCTTCATGTTGCTGTACACACTCCCCTATAGCACCGCTGGGCAGGACTAAATAATAATTTTGCAGCAGGTTGTGGAATTCACTGCACAGATGTTTATTTCTTTATATTTATTTTTATATTACAAATGTTTGCATTGTATAGTAAGTTTTTTTAATTTTATCAACAGTAATTAAAGATCGTGTTAAATAATCCAGATCCCAAGTTCAGTTAAATGAATCATGATTATCATTTTTGCCATAATTCAGCAGCCTGACCTTGGTGGTTGGAGTGTTTTGGTTGGGATTTGCATTCACGTGTGAATGGGATTGGTTTATTTGTAAACTGTTAAAATACCTCACAGGAGCTCTAAAAGTCAGACTGTCTTTACTATGGTCGTTAAGGATTTGCAACTCACAGGAATAAAGTGAAAGAAATCAAACAGGGACACGTTGGAGACATGGTTGCATGGTTCCTAACATACATTTTATATATGAATGTTTGTAAATTTAAAGCTGCCCAGTAGAGGAGGCTGTAAAGTTTTCATCATCCATGGATCATGCTTCGTTTTTCTTGTAGTAGTCATCAGATTAAATATAAACCTTAGAAGTTCACATGGGATTGGAGTTTGTTGTCTCCCCTGATCTCTCTGGGGACATGCAGCATGTTAACCTCTGTCCTGCTCTGTCTCTTGAGCAAGATCAATTCATACCCAGAGGAATGTAAGCTTCAGGGCAGCGGAAAGGTGAGCAGTAAGCACCATAAACACTTCTGCTCTATAAACACACCCTGGGGCCTCAGCAGTGTGATAGCTATGTACACTATCTAGTCCAAGTGATGTCACAAGGGGTAGTGGATTTAGCAGGTTTAGTTTGACGCTAATCCCCTCGTGGCAGTGGACGAGAGGACAGTCCCTGCCAATGGCGTTACATCAACCCCCATTGGATTAGTGCATCTCGTCCCCTCCTCCAGGCAGTTGCATCGTCCAGCATGTGTTTTTACCCAATTTCTTATCTTCAGTCTTGGTGTGGAATGTGACCGTGATGCCAAGCACAAGCATGATCCCTGCAGCGTGGAGTAGAGCCTCGCTCTAAAGGTGTGTTTCTTTTCTGTCTACACCTGTGTGTGTGGTTTTTCTTTGTCTTTATCATGTCGTAAGCCTCTCCTCATGGATTTCTAATGTTTCCAGGGGTGAATTATTTAGATAGGCTGCCAGCAGGGAGCTACATGATAGCACAGACTTAAGAGTGAAGAGAAGGGATGGTGTACTGCAGATCAGGTAAAAGGGTACCTCATGGTTCACCTGTCCTTCTCTCTTCTCCTTTCCTCCCTTTTGATTGGAGGTGAGTGTAATTGGAGAGTTGAAATGCAATACTCAGCTCTATTTTCTGCTTTTGTAGCCACCCTCTTTGTTGTTTTTACTGATGCCTGACTCAAGTGAGCAGTCGCATTTCTGCGGGTCGGTGGGCCAGAGTGTTCCTGTGTGGGGAGAGGGACAGAACGACAGGTCGGCAAGTCGCTGTCACTACTGCGGTACCTTCACAGGGCGTAGGAGTTCATTACCACTTGGTGAAAGAGACAGTAAACTAGGGTTTTACCATAATCTGGATCCTAGTGAGGAGAAGAATCAGCTCTTTCAGTCTTCTTTTTATAGACAGGACCGGCATGGACACAAGCTGTTGAGGAAAAACTCCGTCCCTGATCTTGGCTCGAACTTCTACATCAGGCAAGCGATGGCAGGTAGAGCCTCCGTGCCACCTCAGGATTACTACCTGGCTGATGCGACCTTATCTGGTCAGACACTTGAAGATTCTGGGTATTATAGGGATAACCAGCACTTGCTCAACAGATCAGCTTCACATTATGTGCCCATCCCTGGGGGAGTGAGGCCTACATGGGATCAAGGACTAGCAAGGGCCACACCTTCCGTACTGGCCTCTGCCTCGACCACTACAGGCGTGCCTCCTCCCCCTCTGCCTCCACCTCCTCCCCCTCCTCTCCATGAGCTGAGCCGTTTGTACAGGGAAACTCTGGGATCTAAGATGATCCCAGACATCCATCGTGTTGGTGGCAGCGCTTCTACTCCCGCCGTCTACGGAGTTCAGCAGGCTCAGCCTATTTACGCTGCCGAGCCATCATCTCTCTCTGCTCGTGAACTTTTTAATAGCATCAACGGTCTGTCCCTGGAACCGCGCCAGCAAGCTGCCACCATTTCAGTGGTGGATCCAGCATCTCAGGGAATGGACGGAGCTCTGCCGCGGGCATATGGAGCTGTAGCCTCCCAGAGGCTGCCTTATGATCCAAACTATGATCCCACCGCTGCCATGGTGGCTGCCACGGCTGGAATGCCACCTGGCCTTCCTTCTATCCATCCGAGTGCGGCAGACCCCAAGAAGATGGTTGACCCTACTTTTCTAGCTTACTTGCGAGCTGAAGGTCTAGCTGAAAGCACTATTACTCTCCTGCTACAACATGGCTTTGATTCCCCTGGCACACTGGTGATGATGGAGGACCACGATATCCGATCTGTGGCCCCAAACTTGGCTCAGGCCCGTGTTCTGTCCCGTGTGGTGCTTGGATGCAAGACTGGTGGACCACCTGCTCGTACCAGATCTAACAGCTTTAGTCATCGCAACGACCTCTACATGCAACCGCAAGGTTTGACCATGGACCCCAGCCTAATGCAGCAACCTCCAACCAACATGCAGACCATGTCCCCAAGGATGGGAGAGTTTCTTGGCAGAAGACCAAGTAGTGCACCTTCCCAACATCTCCTGGAAACAACCACCTATCCAGGAACAAGGCCCCTCACAACTGGAGGTTTTCCAGTCAGTCCTGGAGCCTATAACAGCATCACGACTCAAGGAAGGCCCCTGGCCATGTACAACCCACACACTGGTCTCGCCATGTCTGCTCTTGGTCAGCAGCCTCCACCAGCTCCAGGTACCCCTGGAGCTGCACCCAAAACGTTTTCTGGCTCCTATTCCCCTATGGAGCTGATGAAGAGAGCCCCGAATCTTCCCCCAGCATCACCTATAGCAGCAGCAAGCCCCCTCCACAGTCCTCAACTTCTCCGTAAAGGGATGAATGCCGCTCCTGAGAGCACCATTGTTCCCGTCTCTTCTTCCACCTCTCTCCAAGGGCAAAACCCTCCCAATAACAAGATGGTGGGACGCCGCACTGGCCCACCCGTTATAGTCTCAACCATGATCTCCGCACCTGACACAAGTAATGTCGAACCTTCTCATTAATTCCTTCTCATTTTTATCTGATCTTTGTGTTTATTGATGTGTTTTTCCTCCTCTGATTTGGTTGATCAGATTCATGGTAAAATTTAGCTCTAAATATTTAACAGTTTCGGTATCCCAAATCAAAACTGCACTCAACATTGTTTTTGAAAGCAAGAGAAGCATGTAAGATGAGTCTGACAAGTTAAGCAGCTTTTCTCTGAGAGGTTTCTTTTTCTTAAATTATGCAACTATTTATACACATATTGCAACAGAGTTGTGTCATTTGCCAGAGGGGATCCTGTCTCATCACCAAGTCGAAACATTTCATACAAGCAGCTCTCGCGCTATTGAGGTCAACAGTTTTTGATTGTTTGCTTTTAATTAAGCTGTTGGTTCAATTTATTTTTGCACACTGTGCTTTTAGCGTTGTTTTGTTGAGCTGTGTGGCTTCTTATTTTAAGGTTGAAATGTTTTTGCATTTGGTGTGTTCAAGAGGTTACAGCGATACTTTGGACAAGGACACAAAGTGCTCCCTTAAGTACAGGAAAGTGTTTATCAGCGGCCCCTCAAACTGAGTTAGGAGCTGAAAATATAGCATAGAACTTGTTTTTATGTAAAAGAGTTCACTGTCATTCTATTCTACACTGCACTCTCTCCTAATCTGGAGCTTAACTGCCACAAATCCAATTACACTAATTGGATGTATGTTTGTGTAGACTATTATAGGTAACTGTTTTTTATGGCTTTAAATTCGTGTAGCTGTGCAGTATAACTGAAGAATGTTTATTTAATGGTTTCTTTGTCACACTGGTGAATAAATTCAAACATGCGTTTAAAGAAAGATCTTTGAAATGAGCAGCAGTTGCAAATGTTTTCTATTTTTTTACGGTTTTGAAGCCATGAAGGAAACTACTTGAATACTCAAATAATCTAATAATCTAAAAGCTGTTGCCTCAGAGAATAATGAATTACATGGAACTCGAGCAGTAATTTTATTTCCAGTAAACTGAGACAAAAACATCATCTTGGCTTATTTTTATATTTAAATGCTTTGATTTGTACTTGTAACAAAATGATCCATTTCCCCGCTGTTGAGAGCTGATTAGCTTAGTGAAGAATAAAATCTTTTAACCTTGTTTTTAGTTATGCAACCCCCGTGTCTTGGCTCCCTCTCTAATGGGCCTGTGGGCTGCTGCACTTGTTATAGAATAATGACTTTTATGAGGACGTCTCCCTTCACGTGTTGTCAAGGAAATGAGAGGCAGAGTGAGATCCAGAAGGAATTGTGGGGGTGGCAGGTCCATTTTCCCCAATATTCATGTCAATATTTTCTTCTTTTCGAGGTCACTGAAGCATCCCCCCCCCCCCCCCCCCCCACCCACCCACACACACACACACCACCACCACCACCAAAATACCATTATCACAACAATGTCGTTTGCATGTAGCTGACATTTGCTATTTCATCTGATAACGGGCCGCCTTTTCTGCAGATCGGAAGGCATGTTTCTTAATTGTCTGTTGCTAAGCAACTTAGATTTCAGTGTTAATCAGAGATGGGTAATCTGCACATTTAAAAAATGAGGAAATGTGGAAGGTTGCGTGTAGTGTTGTGCATTTTATTGTTGTTGTTACCCTTTCTCTGCAGTTCAGAAATGAGGAAAATTGAGTGAAGATAATGAGATGTTGCAGGGCACTTCAGGAAAGCATTTTGTTTGCCCATTTTTCCCTTCACCACTAGCGTACATCTTAAAATTGCCTCTCACTTTCGCGCATCTGTGAAGAGCTGCTTTTATTGCAGAGGATGGTTTGTGTTCAATCAAGCACATTGGTGAAAAGTTTTTTTCCCTTTTGCCTCCAAGAAATAAAATCATTCTTCTTTTTACCATCTTACATTGAAGAACACATAAATTACAGCAATTTTCTTTATGATTGGAGATTTTTGGTTCATTAGATTTTTTTTTTCTCAAAGCTCAGATTTTAGTACAAACGAAATAACGGATGTGAAAGGTTTGGTGGGAGGGCCTACGTCTGTGTTCTGTTCTCCACTGGACACTGCATTGGTTGGCTAAAGCCGTAAGTAGTTTTAATAATGGCTTTAAACGGTTGAGACAAGCTTAGTTGCAACAGTTCCTTTCCATCTAAAGTAGGGAAGGCACCTTGAAGGGCTTGGATTGGCCATGGAGGTTTCTGTCAGTGGCATCCCTCAGAGCAGCTCAGGTGGGTAAACCTAAAGCTTCAAAGACACCTGACAGCTGTCACTTCCCCACTTGGCTAGAAGCGTGATTGGCTTGTAGCATTTGTTGCGTGTGCTCGTTAAGTAAAAGTTGACACTTGCACGTGGTTTCCTCGTGAGGATAATCCGCAGGATGTCTTCGCTGGGCTTTTCTCCGCTTTAGAATTAAGCAGTCTTGGTGATCATGTGTTTGTAGGCGGAGCTTAACCAAGCATAGAGGTCTTTTTTTTGGCCATTTTACCTGCAACTCACTGACACTGCTGTTTCTGAGAAACCCTGCTTTCTGAGAAGTTAGATCAAATATAGCAGATCATGCCAGTTCTCTCAGGATTTTGTTGGGCCTGATGACTTTTAGGAAGATACATATCTAGAGTGATTTAATTTGTCCTTGAACAAACTGCTCTGTTTGGTGTGATTTTATTGTGTGAGTGAGTAGGGTTGGGCATCAATCATCGATGGGGCTAATTTTCAATTTGTCCAAAAGTCGTTGAATTTTTCAAATTTCTATTCCTACTTTCAATACCCAGTCTGTCCATCGGAAGGAGAAGCCACTAAATACCAACGAAGAAGAATCCAGTAGAGGCGTTTACATAATCGTAATCATGGAAAACGTGTTGAAGCATTCTAAAGTATGACATCACACTTCCATATTATTTTGTAATATTAGAAATCATGGAGAAGTTCAGGGTTAGGGTTTTTTCTTTCTCTTGAAAGAATCAGAATCGAAAATCATTAGGAACTGAAATCCAAACAAGGAAATTCAATCAGAAACTGAATATTTAAAATTCAAACAATGTAAAATCCTATGTGGTTTTGGTCAGCCCATTTTAGAGTGTTTGGTCCTGTAAGGAAAACGTGATTGGATTGATACTCAACGCTGCCACATACAAGTACTTCCACTGCCTTGTAAAGAGCAGAGGGAGGAGAAAAGCCTTAAGTTCTATTTTAGGAAATGTCTTAAACACAGCAAAATGTCAGAGTAAAACAATCAAATGGAAACATCTCCATACATGTGTAAAATCAGGGCCACGTGTAAGTATCAACAGCAGGAAGTGTTGATTTTCATCTTTGGATGGCTGCATGTGAGGGAGCCGACAGCAGGGCATGACGACGAGTCCTTATGTGTCTTCTAGAGGTTTCTTCTGCAGATTAGAATTATTTACTATATATATATATATATTTGGCAAAAAGCTAAAAAGTCAATGCAGTGTGAATTTATTTCATACAGATGCGCCAGTTTTTTTTTTATTTACAAGGAAACATGATGTTCTCATGCCTGCCAATCCAAGGAAAATGATTCTGTTGTATTTAAAGTGACAGTGTGTATTTTTACCATTTAGTATCTCTGGAAATATCCATCAAAACATTGTTGAAAATGAACAAAATCATGTCCAGTTGTTGAAAAATATTGGCGGATTCGTACCATATAACCATAAAAAAGGTCTAAAATACATAGGGCGTTTTACAGGGATGCCATGTTTCATTCTGGCTGGCTCAGGGTCCTGTGACTGTCGATGACATCACACTAGATGATTGGCTGGATGTACGACTGACTTTACCATGTTTGAAAATAATGTAGTAGTAACAAACAAGAGTTTTATAACAAAACTGCTAAATTCTTTCCAAAACATATGTGAAAGAACAGAACTGAAAAAGATTTATATTTTGACAGAGCAGTATTGCCGTAGTGTGATGGTGTCATCAGCAGGCGCAGGACCCCGAGCGAATAAGGAAACAGATGGAATTAACTGAAGAAACATCAAACTCATGCTGAGGTTGCATGCTTTCTGCTCCAGGGGTAACAACATTTACCGTAATGTTTTTTAAACTAGCAACAGTCAAAGTGATATGGTGTAAAACTACCCTGAAATGTATATACTGCCCCCTAGCGCTAGGAAACTACACAGTAGCACTTTAAAGAAAACATGCATGGAATAAGAAAAAGATGAACATAAATGTTTACGGTTTTATTATTTTCTGTATTCTGTTAAAGACCACGGAAAAATCAAGACTGCACTGTTAATAAAGATCAATCTGGTCATGTTTAGTAGCTGTTTAAACACTCAAATCCAAACATTTAAAGAAAACTGTAATAAAACAAAATGGTTGGTGTGGCAGCAAAATGTAAACATAACAAAAATAGCATTTGGTTCAGTTAAAAGATGGGAGGATAAAATAGGAATGGACCTCAAGAAAGATCTGCGAAAAGAGTTGAATCTGGTGAATGGGTGGTGAAACTAAGGACTATTTACATAAGGAGGGTTGGTTATTGGATGAGAAAAAAACAGGTAATCAGGAAGAGGAGCAAAGAAACAGAGAGGTAAACAAAGTCAATCAAAAACATAAAATTATGAAGAAAGGAGGACCGTACACATGTTGATACAAACGTAAATCAAGTTCATCGTTTTTAGAAGTCAATTGCTTAAGGTACCAGAAAAGGACTATGAACAGAATTGGAGTGGGGTGAATCCACTCTCCAGACATGTGTTGGTATTAGCGCTAGCATACAAATCCACAATTGTGTTTGTGTGTCAGTGGGGCTATGTGTCATCGTGGCTAATCCTGCAAGCACGAATGAAGACCGAAAAGGTGTCATCAGTCAGATTTTAGCATATCAGTGCTCTTTGTTTTTATTCGTACTCTGATGCTTGAACTGGTTAAACAACTGAACAAATTGAATAAAGTAATTAAATCAGCGATTAGTGGAGATCAGACGTTTCTGTTGCATTATCTGCTCTGCAAACGTCATGCTGCCAAACAGT